ATTTTCCTAATTGCCTGAAAAATAAAGCGTATCAAACACGCCCTAATTGTTGTAGATCAGCTTAGTTATAGAAGGAGAATTTGGTAAGATTATATTCGCATAACCACACAATAGTAAAGAATAACAGCAACAACTTCCTCACGCTATTATAAATCAATTAATTAAAAAAACTTGCTAGAAACGAATAATAATTATTAATATCACTTAAGACATTCTTTATTTTTGATAAAATATTCAATAAATATTAATTAGACATTCTTTATCTTGATAAATATTCAATAAAATTAACACGGATCAAATTGACAAGTTGCGGCCCCCAGATTCTTGAAATGCATGCTCTCCTTTTATTCTTTGAGTTGTGCTATAGATGAACAGAGTCATAATAATGCTGTAGATGAACAGAGTCATAATAATTCTTACTCTTTTACATGTCTATGTAGCACTATTACAATTTCAACATATTAATAGCTAGTTTGGCATGACTTTTAAAAAGTAAAAAAGAGATTTTGAGATTTAAAAGCAGCTTTTGAATTCATTTGACTAATTTTATAAAAGGCTACTTCTAGTTAAAAAAAAAAAAACTTAAGAAAATTGAGCAAATATGACTCCCTTTAAAAACACTTGCGGACGAGGAAGCTCTTCAAAATAAGTTACCAAAAATAATTAAAAAAAAATTTCTCCAAAATCTCTTCTATAGAAAGCAAAAATATTATCAAACGAACTCAAAAATATGACGAAGATTTCTTACATTAATCAAGAAAAAGATTCAAGTCCACAGATTCAAAAGTTCTGGACCGCGTCCTGTTTGATGATCCCCATCACTTTGTATGCTTAATATATCGAGTAAATCCAACTGATAACCTCCCAAATCTAAAATAGCATCACAAGATGTTTACAAGGTACAGGCAGTATAGATCTAACATCAAAGTTAGTTAATAATATCTGAAAAGATGCATAGGACTATTCAAGTCCGGACTCAGATACGCGAAGCATACATCAGATTAAAATCATAGTCAGATACAAGCTGGGGCGACACATTTTCTCATCTAACCACCCTGTGAACCATACTACTGGTAACCTCCTGACTGTGGTACGTTATATCCAGCTTGCGCTGGTGCTGGTTGTGTATAACCTGACTGTCCAGTGGCAGGTGCACCATAACCTGCAGGACCTTGGGCACTACCATATGCAGGATCTATCTGCCATTGATACCCGTAAGCTGCGGCATTGGCTGCTGGTTGTTCATTGTGGCCAGGCTGAGTAGATGGATAAGAACCATAACCTCCAGTAGGTCCAGCCTGGATATATGCAGGAGTCTGTTGTCCACCGGGCTGACCATACCCAGCAACAGGTTGACCACCTTGCACAGGATAACCAGAACCAGATGCTGTGGTAGATGGTGGGTGACTGTAACCATCGGCAGGAGGTACAGAACCATATGAAGCATAGCTTTGCTGCACCGGTCCAGTTGACACATGTGGGTATGGCTGTTGAGGTGGCACAGTTTGACCATATGCTTGAGCTGGCGCAGCAGGACCTTGATAAGGCACTTCTCCAGGTTGGTTAGGCCTAGGCTGACCATAAGATTGAGAATGTTGTACTTGTGGCTGCACATCATACATTGGTGGCTTACCGTATTGGTCCTGTGAACCATACCCTGAATGTGGACCACTTTGAGCATAAGCTGTTGACTGAGAACCCATGTTCCCAAACTGTTGTGACGATGCATAGTTATCATATTTTACTTCACTGTACCCAGGAAGACCAAAGTGTTGTGCTTGTGCAGGTGTTTGAGAATAAGGAGTTGGCTGTCCATAGTTGACCTGTCAATGAAATGTGCCCGAATCAGGACAAGCAGCATTTAGTATGAATATTTGGTAGACATGTAAATGAAATAATAACTAAACTGCCAACCTGGGGTGAGGGCCCCTGCATTGAAGCTGGAGGCCTTTGCTCCCAGCTTGGACCATAGCTGCTTCGTGGTGCCTGTTGTGGAGGATACTGACCATATGCTTGAGGTGGATATAAAGAATTCTGAGAAGGATATGATCCTCTTTGCGGATAATCGTAACCTGAGAACTGTGCATGATGGGGACCACGAGGACCCCATTGCGAAGCAAAAGATCCACGAGGATGAAAAGCCTGCTGGTTATATCCACTAGAGAGAGGCGATTGCCTTATGGTCTGAACAAAGCAAGTTAAATCAGGACAAGTGAAAAAATTGAAGAAACCAAAGCATCAGTCACTAAAATTTTGCGAAAATCACTTAAATGCTATGTGCATAGGCTTGTCCTTCATTTCTTAAATCAGCAAAAATAAAAAATTGCAACAAATTAAAGAAGAGCATCAATTGAAAGGAAAGACCATAAATCAAATCCATTAAAATCAAAAAGCTCGAAAAGCAAATAAATTACATTTAGGATTATGCAGGCATACTCAATAGATTGCAAGTGAAAACATTCAAGTCATTCTTATTTCAAATACATTTAGGATATAGATTCCATAAGAAATAGCTACAAAGCAAAATCAAATTTCAGAAGTATGTGCAATCCACAGAATCACAACATAAGAGTTGGTCTTATCTCTAAAGAACTTGTAACTAGACATCTCTTTTTCGATGTGGTCAGTACATTGAAGTTCCCGAATATGTTTTGCCTTTCTGTTTAACGGTACTATTTCATTGATCTCCAAGAATGCCACCACATGGTTCACTGGAAATTCCATTCAATTTGCGTGATTATTCCACTTTCACGAAACCTCTTGCAGTAATTTCAGCTTATACAGACTAATTTCTATTCCATAATAGACTGCACTTGAACATCGCCAAGAAAGAAAAGCATTTGTGGATAATAACAAACAACTAAAGAACACTATCATCTTATAAAAGTAAAAGCAGCCAAAGAAGTAACAGGAAATTCAAGAAAACATTTAAAAGACACTGGAAAATAAAAGGGTTAATTCAAAGTCAACCTGAACAATTCAGATAATTCATGAACTCGAATGACCGTATTCAAATCGTCTTGTTAAAGATGATGGATAACTAGAGATACACCTCAACATATACAAAAAATGACGACAGCAGATATTCTAAGGCCATGTGACATCAAATCAAATTTGGAAATATTGATACTAAATTACTTCAGAAGACAAAGTTTGACTAGATATGACACCACTTTCCAACATATCTCAAAAATACTATAGGAGGCATACCAGATAGCACGTGGGTTGATATAATATAGCCTTACTAGAACTATTGCTATTAGTTTCTAAATCTCAAAGCAATCTTACCAACTATTTACATCCTGCAATGTCGAAGGTTAATGCTTGATACCTCTCTTCCAAGGACGAGCAAGAATAGTGGTGGTCTATTGATACACCATGAGGGCAATGCTGAACCGAAGTAAAGGCACAAGCCAAATCTGCATTTTTAAAGCCAACCAATTCGAAATCGGCAACTTCAAGACAAAAAAATCATGGAAACCGACTTGACACACTGGTATTCAATCAACAAGCTCGCAGTCCATGGTATCATCATAAACAGATTTTCTCAGCCCAAGGCTTCACTCAACTGTAAAGAATATTATAGCCTTTACAAACACGTGGCCAACTATATCAGGATTCTGGACAATCAAGTGATGCAATGATTTGAGACTAAAGCAAGGGCAACTGACTCAATGTTTCTATCAATCAAAAAGTAAATTACAGAAACTTAGTTGTATGCTGATATCCTATTTCAAAAGCCTATTTGACATCCTTTATCTACAAATGTAAAAATAGAACAGCAGATTTATTTGACATTAACTAAGCAAACCAAAATATCACTAGCGATATGTTCACTATTCATATCATTGATATGTGTCGTATTCAAAATAGCATAAATACTATAAATGGCAGCAGATATAGAATCTTAGAACATGATATTATCATATTATTATACTAATCTGGCAACACATACTGAAACCAATCAAAAAACGAAACTAAAAACTAGATGCTCTTCAATCCAATATAAAAAGAAAAATGAAAAAAAGAGATACAATCAAATAAATTAAGAAATAAGAATGACTTGAATGAAATTCTGCACACTTAACCATACTGAGCTTTCAAACAAACAGCAAGAAATAACATCCTAGGTATTAAGAATTAAAGCCAATTAAAAAGGAATTCAGAATATTCACCTGATTCATAACTTCTTTTATCATTTCTGTTGCAGTCTCAATTTGCTTCTTATTACCAGTCACACGGACAGTTCTCTTCCTAGATTTGTCTCCTTCAGGAAGATTTTGTTGCAATAACTAGATAAAAAAAATAAAAAAACAATCATCATTTTATTTAGTCATACACAGCATGTTAATGACCAAGTTGACCGTATGCATGTCTTCGAATAAGCTGATAGAAAATATACTACCTGAATACGTGCCCCTGATCTTGTCTGCAGATTTCGGATTGTTTCTCCACCCTTTCCAATAATTAAACCAACCTAAAGTAGAAGAAATTTTGCTCAACTTAAGCCATCCAATGTACCAAAAACAAAAAAAAAGAAAGAAAGGAAAAAGAGAGAACTCTTCGAATGAGTAATGCCCTGACGAAAGTTTATGCATGGGTCTGAGAGAGAAACAGAAAGAGGAAAAGGTAAACAAACCTTTTCATTTGGGACTTGTATTTCAAAGAGGACTAGGTAAACAAACCTTTTCAATTGGGACTTGTATTTCAAGCTGTTCTCCACCTCCAGCAGCTTGCACAGTGCTGAATCCCCTAGCAACGAGTGAAGGAGAACCTCCAGCATCAGCCTAACATACAGTACTTAATTAGTAACAGAAGTAGCAGAATCGAAAATTTTATACACATAACAAATGCAATAAATGATGGGGAAAAGTATGAATACTAATATGAATAGTTCAAGATGCAAACAAAAACGAAAACAAGAGAGAAAAATACCTCAGCAATAACATCCTTTATCAATTTCTCGGCCTTCTTTATATTTTCTGAAGTTCCTATCAGTTCCAAAGGCCTGGTGGTAGAATGTGGATCTGCATCAGCATCTCTCACTATCTGAATTTTCGCACCTGTGTTGTCTTGCAGGGACCTAATAGTGTCCCCAGCCTTTCCAATTATAACCCCAACCTACGACAAAAGAATATATTTTCCAATCAAGTTCCTTTCCTCTTTAACATTTCTTTTTTCAGTTTAGCTTTCCTTTTCGGCATGGGTGGAGTTGGGAATGGGCGGTATTTTCGACATAAAGTTGTGGAGTTGAAGTTTCAATTAAATCTAGTGCCACCACAAACTGAACCAGTCACGATCTCCTCATGTTCTTTTTCCCAGATTTTCTTTTTAATCAGAGAGATGGATAATGAAATGCTATTTCCATCTACATACTTGGAATCAATTAGTTAATGTCACGTCAAAATTATGGTCCCATCAAGAGATTGCATTTGTACTCCTGTATCTTTAGCCCCTTTTCACTTCCCTTATTTTCCACTTACATACACATGTACACATGGATGTTTGTGCACATGATTACATAGACACATTGCTATCATGACCATAACTCTTATTATCCATCATCAGAGACAGGAAAAAACCAAGTCAGGAACTCAGGATATTGAAAACCCAAGCACCAATAGTTCTTCAAGAAAAGCCACAGTTCTCCAAGTTCTAATATTTATAAAATAAGCATTCACGCTTTATTTGCAATCATAATGATTGACAGATGGTTTGCTGGCATTACTTAATCCTATCTGCTTCTTAGTTTTTACTGATCTGCGGGGTTTGGATCTTAGTAGCTCCCAAATATTCTCTTGTAAATCTTCGTCTGCCAAACTGGTGATCTAGGATCGATTCCAATATCCCTTTAGATTGTTCATTTGGAAATCCAAGGTTCCTTTGTAATATCTCATACTGATGTGCTATGTCAGTTTGGCTAGATAGAAACGCTAGGATTTTCCAAAAATAGATACCTGTTATCATATATTTTGTTGGACAGGATAATATTCCGGGTATTTTTGAGGGCTAAGGTAGTTATTTCATATCCGGTAATAACGGGCTAACAGATACAGTGTGAATGGAAGGATTAGCTTCCTTGAACTCCACTATCATTAATTTTTATTTCTGTAATTGAGAAAAGACCAAGATTTTTAAATGAATAAATGTGGCCCCATTCTAATATCTTAAGATTATAAATAAGGTGGTTAACATCAAACATAGATGGAAAAATAGAGAAAGATAGAACCTTGGAATTAATGTGGTGCAAAAATAAATTACTAAGTCAGATTTAAGCATCATAATACACTGTGTATTAGTTTTTTGATTTGGCTACTTAAACTTGATTACCATTGCATATTTCTTTAGAAAATGTAATCTGTATTTTAATTCAGAATTACTTTTTCTTTTTCATTTTACAATTTCTGGACAATTATTATTGAGAACTTTTATCTTTCAGGACTATGATGGTCGTTGAGTAATTTCCATGCTTTATTACTTGTATTGTAAATTAGATTAATTATTCCTTTTCTATGTAGGCTATGAGAATTTCTCAATAAAGACACTATTGGTGATTCATTCAATTGGATTACTAATTCACTCATTTGAAGTATGATCTTTATTCATAATAGCTCGTGTAATAATGTAAATATGTGATCAATGTAACAAATTAAGGTTTCCAAATTCTTATTTTGGCTTAAATTCACTCAATTTCAAGAAATGACAAGCGTCTTGCTAAATGACAGAATCACTTGTTGAGGGAATTGGTTCTTTGCAAATGAGTAGTACTGTCACAACTGTAGAGTATACTACTGCTGCAATGTAAATATGTGATCAATGTAACAAATTAAGGTTTCCAAATTCTTATTTTGGCTTAAATTCACTCAATTTCAAGAAATGACAAGGGTCTTGCTAAATGACAGAATCACTTGTTGAGGGAATTGGTTCTTTGCAAAT